AAAGAAACTTCAGAAACTCCAGTCCCACTAGGAGGAGGCAGACTGAAACATGATTTGCATATAGTTCCAGACCACATTGTAAGTGTCCTTCCACAATGCCTGGGCTACAGGAGAAAGGCCATGCACAGAAAGCACCCACAGGCTTCACGCTGAAGGCAGCTCATGTGGCCCTGGAAGGAGTGGAAGCAAGATGGCATGCTAGGGTGTGGTAAGGATCTCTCAGGCCCAGTGTGTAAGACCTGACTGCCGGTGTGGCTGCCAGTCTGCAGGGTTATGGGGAGGTGGAGGTACCTTCCGGGGGTGAGACCCAGGGAGAGGAAGGGAGCTCAAGGGGTACCCCTGAAGGAGACACTGGGACTTCCTTTCTCTTTGCATCCATACTGCCACAAGGGAGAACTGCCCCCGGGCCCTGCTTACCACAAGATGCTGTCCACCACTGGCCAAAAGCAACAGGGCCAGGCAAACAAGGACTAAAACCACAAGCCAAAATAAACCTTCCTTCCTTTTAATTTGATCACCTAAGGTATTTCTGTCACAGTAACAGGAACTAGTGAACACAACAGGAAGAAGTGAGGACCCCTGAGCAGAGAAGGTGTTCCAGATATCAAGGTCAGGAGCCCTAGGGATACAGGGTACCCCGTGTGGTCACCCAGATGTAAGCACACCAGGATGTGAGGCCAGGAGAGCAAGCTCGGGGGTGACAGTCCTCGAGGGGCCTGCTGAGTGTCACAGTCCCATCAACTAACTCATCCTCTGAGCAGGAAACGGCCCCACAGCTGATCTCTCATCAGTGGGCTGCTGAGGGAGGAAGAAAGAAGACAACACCATCCAGGTTCTTACGGACAAAAGCGGGCAGGGAAACAAGGAATACACACCAAAAGTTAAGGGCAGATCTGAGGCTGACATTTAGTCAAGATGTCAGTGTGAAGAGGATGATGTCTTTAAACAGAGACACAGAAGTTGGGAGACAATGTATGAGCAGAAAAGAGAAGAGGTAAAAAGACCAGACTTGGTTGGGAAAATGCTTCTGAGATTTTAGATCACCTTAACACCAGAAATACTGTGTGGCTGTGCTGTACTCTGCTGAAAGCCATATATGACCACAGGGTGTTTGCACAAGCTGCCCCAAACCCACCCAAAGGTCTGTGTCCTGCCCATACTGAGAGTTCAGGCAGCACTGGAAACACATCTGCAGAGAATTCCATCTTGACTGCCCATAGTGGGATCAGCCCTTAGTCAGCAGGGTCCCTCTGAGGTAGCTCTTAGGGTTACTACAGTTGTACACTTCTTACTGTGACCCCCCTGAAGGAGATCAGGACATGGCACCCCGAAACATGCTGCCCTGGCACAGTATTGTGAGACACAGGAATTACAGGCGGGACTTTCACACCATTTCCCACAGGATGAGATGCTGCCTGCCCTGTACCTCTCTGCTGGAGTCTGAGGTTCAGCACTGAAGTGGACCTGTACAAACAACCCAAAAGAACCCCTCACTGGCACTACTTTTCCCGATATATCTCCAGATGACTACTCCACCATTACTGTCTCTCATTCAAACTTCTTTCTCTCATTATTTCTTCTCAAATTTATCATTTCTTTATACAAAAGGCATGATGACATCCACATACATGTAAGATTTTAATGGAGCTGGTGCGTGTTTTCCTATTACGGTGCCTCATGTCCTCTTAATCCCTAGGCTCAGCTGGAGAAGCCAAGGTGAGGAGAAGCATCTGCTCCCTACATCTGCTCTGGGAGGAGGCCAGGTACACTGAACCTAGAAGCCGGTGACCAGGCCTAAGCACCCTCCTCCCAACAGGGCTGAGATGATGCCGAGATCTGGCCAAGGAACACCCCTGTGCTGGCCAGAGGCCGCCACACGGCTGAAGCCTGTTGAGGGTGCCAGGTTCTGTGGCCATCGGGCACCACGCAGGACTGGGGGAGGTGAGACCCAGGCCTGTGGAAGGGGCTGCAACATGAGGACTGGGAGAGTCATGTAGCCGCAGAGGGGCACTGTCAGAGAGTGGGCAGAGGACCCGGGGTAGGGGCTGCCCCATACCTGGAGCCACCTGGGCTGCAGACAAAGTCCGACTGCAGGCCAGTGCCAAGGTGTACACACCCACCCACCTCCCTGCCGCCCCCAAATGTGTCCAAGAGGTGTTCCAAGAATGACGCGTTCGGTTTCACCATCTTACACACCCTGCCCCAGCAGCATCGGCCTTCTGTGCCTAGAGCAGCCCCGAGAAAGGCACGTATGTACTTATACCACCCTGTGTGCTGTGGGCATGTTGGAGACCCACACGCAGCAACTAGCCAGAGTTTATGACGGATGACGTCTGTACCACGAAAACACTTGTCTGCGATTTTATGTCTTTTCCTCTTATTTGCAGTTATTGTGTTTCAAAGAAATCAATCTTTGTGATACTGGAAAAATGCTTAGTCTGTCACAACTGCTTTGAAGCACTCTGAGGCAAAGCTCCATCACTGACTGTTAAGAGTGGCAGATCCTCTCGATCTAACTGACAGACAGTGGCAACAAGACCACAGAGCGAGACTGAGGCAGGAAGATGGTTGTAAGTTTGAGGCCACCATGGGCTATAAAGTGTAAGCTCAAGACCAGCCTGAATTGCACAGCAAGACCATGTCTCAAAAAGACAAAACAAACAAAGAACAAACATAGAGCCAGATTCCAGCAACTCTGAACTTCCACTGTCCTTCTGCTGTGCATGAATGCCCTTTCTCACATGAAATGGCTCAGCTCAAAGGTGAAAGAGAATCTGAACAGTGGATTTTTACCATTTCAAAGAGAGCAGTGATGGCTCAGACTCAGGGACCAATGGCCGTTTTGATCAACACGTGAAACACATCTTTGGCCAGGTGTGGTGGCACACACATGTACCCCAGCACTCAGGAGGCTGAGGCAGGAGGATCGAAGCTAGTCTGAGACCAACTGGGCTACAAAGTGAGTTGAGGCCAGCCTGAACTGTACAGTGAAACACTGTCTCAAAAACCAAACCAAGAACAAAGTATCTCTGCACATGAGCTTCGCCACTTGGCCACTCTGCCCTTGTCCTTGTCCTAAGCACACAAATCCTGGCTCACACAGATCTGAGCACCAAACAATGGAAGTGCACACAGCTAAGGATGGACTGTATGGCTCTAGGAAGCACCGTGCTATGGTCGCTGCCGTCAGCCTGCACACACACATACACACACGCAGCTGTAAGAACAGGGTGCCTGCCTTCCATCCAGCACTACACTGCTCTGCCTTCTGCCCCGTCCACCCCTCCTCCTGCCCTCGCCATGAGCGCTGAGCCGCTGCACAACTCCCCGCCCTCCTGCCTCCTGAAACTGGCTTTTCCTAAGGCTCAACCACGCTTGGCGTTTATTAACCCATAAAGATTCATCGGCAGTATCATGACTGCTTCTCGTGTACCCTTCATCCACTCACCAATCCAGCTGAATACCTGCGTGCTATACTGCCAGCAACCAGAGGAAGAAACATCTTCGCGGGCCCAGAGGATTTCCCTGGCTGCAGCAGGGAGGCATTCCCAAGCACACACACAACACCGTCCACCGACTAAACCAACACGCAACGCCCCTCCCGCACCCTGTCCTGCTCTGCACCCAGCCAAGGCACCACCTGAATCCTCAACCTCTGCTAATTTCCAGGGCGGACAAAAGCCTCATCTCACCATGAACCAAATGACCATGACAAGGTACTGTCATGCATGCAAAGTGAACCATGGGTCCTGCTTTTCTAAAAAGCTGGTGATGGGCTGACGAATCTCAGGTTTTTCTTTGGGTTGGTGGTTTATTTGAAGCCAAGGCTCGGGGATGGGGATTTAGCTCAGCGGCATAAGCGCCTGCCTTGCAAGAAGGCAGTCGTGAGTTCGATCCCCAGTACCGATAAAAAGGGAAAAAAAAAAAAAAAAAAAAAAAAAAAAAAAAAAAATTAGTGAAGCCAAGGCTCCCTCGGGGCTGTAGACACAGCTCAGCCCTTAGCAGCCAACAAAGTCAACTGAGTGTGAAATCACACGAGTGAGTGGGTGCTGGACAGACTGCTCCAACAATGCCTTAAGAGTGATGCATGGAGAAGACACAGGGCAGAGGAACAGAGACACAGTGTTACTGGGATCTCTGTTTGGGATTTCTTACTTAGAAAGTCAGCATTTCAAAAGGCCTTCTGCCATTTCCATCATGGGAAAACGCTGAGTATCTGCTGGAAGCCAAGACATACCCTCATACTTCAATTCCGCTTTGTATGAAACTTGAGGATTTTAAGAATTCTTTGAAACCATGCTCCCAATAAATAACATCACGGAAAGCAGGCAAAGATTTCCTTCTTTTCTGCAGTGCAGAAAGAGTGACCACCTAAATGTCTCAAACTGAGAATGTGTCTGCACCCTTTATCCTACTGCTCTTGCTTCCCTCTAAACCCATGTCCCTTTTTGCAGCTGTAGGTCTCTCTGATAAAACACTCATCAAAATGTAGTTGGGGTCAGCCTGGGATGCTGGCTTCGGCCTGGGATGCTGGCTTTCCTGAGAGCCTGTCCCTCCACAAAACCTTGCTCCAACCAAAGAAAGGAAAAGGTGGCACTGGTCAGGTGGAGAGAGGATGTCTCTGAGGCTGCCATTCCAGAGTGTGTGACAGCTGACCGCCCAGCGCACAGCCCTGTCCAGGGACATTGCCGGGGGCTGTCCACAGCTTTCCACAGAGGGCCTAACGAGGAGGGCCCAGTGCCTCCTGCTCTTTCCTCCACCCCGATCTCCTCCCCAGCAGCTTCTCCCCAGGAAAAACTGAATGCATGAGCTCACCACAGGGAGAAGACACCTACAAGTGGCCTATTTATAGCAAGTGCTAACACTCTTCAGGGAAAGGCACCACAGGTCTTCCTTGGAAACGCCAAGGATGCCCCCTCCCCGGAATCCCAGCCTGCCACCACCAGAGGCTGAGAAAGCGCCTCTGAAACAAACAAAAGCCAAGTCAAGGAGGTACTTACGGTTTACCCCCGGGGATTCCTGCCAGGTTGGGAGGGATGGTAGGTACTCTCATGTGGGGCGGAGGATCAAACCCAACCTGGAAATGAAAATATGGCAAGGCAGACTCAGTGAACACAGACAGGCACTTTGTGAGCTTCAGCTTCCCAACAGAAACTCCTGTGTTCCTAAAGCGGTATCAGGGGGAACGATGGCAGGGCTACAATTCTTCAGGAGAAAAGGGCACCATGACGCACAGGGGCCAGTGTCCACAGAAGGCAACCCACGCACCCCGAATTCTCTGAGCCAACATGAGCAGAGTGCCAATGTGCCGACAAGTACGACGCTCCTGGCGGTGTAGGCCAGGTGGCTCTCTGTGGGCTGTCTCCGGCTTTGAGGATATCGGGCAGCACCTGAGGCCGCTGCCCGTGGCACCACAGCTTTCCCTGCTTGTATGCGCCGAGCATCTTGGGGCGCTGTGCTTGCCACGCAGCCACCACCTTGCTTTCAGCTCTCTTGCCTCCGCTGCCTCCCAGCCCACAGATGCAGCCTTTCACAGCTCCCTGTGGGAAACTGCAGGAAAATGTGGCTGGGAAAGGCAGGAAGGCATGTGGCATATTCTGGGCAGCCAATGCACAAGCTCGCAGAACTTGTTCGCTGCAGGTGACTTCCACTCCCCTCCAGGATGACCAGTGGGGCAGTCCATGTCACCCTTCAAATGCAAGTCTGTGTCGCCCTGGGACAGGCGGGCTCTGTGCCAGTGCCTGTGTTTGTCTGAAGACAGCTGTTCCTTTTAGAGGATGGCATCTCAGCACTGCTCTGCTCTACCTTTCCCTGACGTGTACATTCTGCCCGAGAACTGCCAACTCATTTCGGGGCCATGTTCTGAGTGGGTCTGAGGCAGGGCAAGAATCGAGCGCCCGGTCATGTCCCTGGGGTCACAGAAAGAGAAAGCTGTGGCTTCTCAAGTATTTTTTTCCTACAATTTTAAACTGAGAACAAATTGAAAGGCTTCTGTCTATCACTAGAGTCATTTCATCACTTTGAAATGAGAAAATCCCCTTTAGTAAAAGCAAGTCAGATGGGCCGGGCCACCAAGGAGCTTCCAGACACTACACTCATCACCCCAGGGTGGCTCTGAGACTGATGGGAGGCAGCAAGGGTGGTGGGCATGGGTCTGTCCCTGGGTTGTCCTGCGCTCCCGGCCGGTGGCCTACCATGGGGGAGCGGCCGTAGGCCACGACGGCAGCGGCAGCGGCGGCAGCACTCATCTGGGACGACATGTTGTGCAGGCCGGCGTAGGCAGCGCCAGGACTGGTCAGCTCGCCATTCATGCCAGCATGGGGCACCATTCCAAAGGGCGCGGGATACGGGCCAGGGACTGCCAGAGGTGTCCGCAAGCCAGCTGCTGAAAGCAAGCACAGCACAGGTGAGTCCTGACCGCACCCTCTGTGTGTGCTGTGTGTTGGACTCAGTGCCACGGGAGAGGAAGGGGAGGCCACTCCAATTTACACTGGACCCACTCTCCCTGAGCCACAAGCTCACCAACCCCCCTCCTCACTGGTGTGCAGCAGCCCTGGAAAGCCGGGGCCCCAGCCAGCAGGATGGTACCCTGTTTGCAGAGGGCAAACTGAGGCATGGCACTCAGTGCTTCCCTGACTGAATCTCAGCAGACTCTAGAAATTCAAAGTTTCTCACTCACTCTCAACTTCCATTCCCTGGTACCAGTTCCAGCTGAAAACCAAACCCTAGGATGATTTCTTTGGACTCCAGTCACTAGCTTCTCCTCACCTAGCGAGGCAGCTGGACCTGACAGTTATGAGTGTTCACTGGGGAGCTGGGGTCTTGAGGCACCCTCTCTGCTCCTATGTGAGGACAGCCTGCCATCCCTGAGGGACACACTGGCACAAAAGCAGCATGATGCACCAAGGCAGCTGCCCCCTCACTGCCGGCAAAGTCAGATGCACAGTAACAGTTTGGTAAGGTGCTTACGTCTAGAGTAATTAACAGGACCTTACTGAAGCGCCTAGGGTTTGGATCCGCAGGAATAAAGGCAAAGCAGAGCTTAAACAGCTGGAGAGGACACTGGAAGCAGCTGCTGAAACCCAAGGCCCAGCACCTGTCTGTCCCTCACTGGACGGACATGGAGATGGGAGAGGTAACCCTAGTGTGTGTCAGATGCCAAGAACAGCCTGGGGACCAGCAGGTCACTCATCACGCGGGAAGGCACACGGAGGTACCTACCCGCTTGATTGACGAGGGGCTCCATGGCTGGCGGCTTGCCGAGGCCTGGCCGGAGTCCTGGAGCGGCGCTCGTGCCCGGCGTTGGCATGTCGCTCCGAGGCGTCGGTGTGCTGGATTTTAGAACAGGCGTGCTGGCTTTTTCATGCTGGTATCATTAAACAAATTAAATGAGTATTAATTTTAATCCAAGCCATATTACACAATTTATCACAACAGCAGCTGGGACACTGGGCACCTTCTAGCTACTCCCTCAGCCAATTTTCATAAATCCACACAATGTTGACAGCATTAACTTGTGAGCGAGAAATGCTGACCTTTCTGCTTCCTGCCAAAATTAAAACTCGAGCTAGAGACGTACAACATGATCACACTTCTTCCTCCGCAGATTTTATTTTAAAAGAATTTCCATCAGGCTGTGGGTTTTGGCGTCAGGCCAAGTGAGGCCAAGTGCCCAGAGGACAGATCCCAGTCCCGGGAGATGCATGCCCGCCTCCGCACAATGGAGGGAGACATGTACCCTCTCACAGCAGGTGGCTCTGGGACTGAGACCAACACAGGGGACAGCAGGGCCATCAGCACCAAGAGAAGTGAAGTGAAGGGAAGGGAACCAGCATCAGAGGCCTCACTCGCAGCTCAGGGTGCATTGGAACCTCATGGCGGCAGCAGCATGACCAGGGCATCATCTCTGTCTGGCACCCTATCTTCCACTCCCACTAATCCCCAGGCCAAGGAGTTCTGTGGGATGAAGGGCGTGGACCAAGGAGGGACTCCTCGTGCTCCTCTGCATTCTCCCATAGGTGATGCAGACTGACAGCTGGGGGCTGCTATAATGAGCACTGCCTCACTGCATGGAGCGTGTCGAGGGACTGTATGGGCTCCTGGCTTCCCCAGGGCCTGCCATGTACATTCTGACCCTGCCGAGCTCCCTGGTACTGCCATGCTCCATAACATGGGTCGGTCCCCAGGTAAACGGGCAGTTCCACAAAATCAAGAGTCCCTGAACCTTCCAGGTCGAGCTAGTGTTTGCCACCTGGCACCTTTTTCAGAGCTTTCCACTGTGTGTAGGTCTCTAAGACAAGGCAGTGGGTGCGGCAGCACAAGCAACCCTACAGCCACAGCTTGAAGGACAGCGGCACAAATACGGGAAGCATGCACCAGAAACAAACGTGAGGATGTCACCTTTTCTTTATTTTGGAGACTACGTAGTTCAGGCTGGCCTTAGACTCACTATGTAGCCCAAGCTGGCCTCAAACTTGTGATCCTCCTGCCTCAGCCTCCCATGTGCTAGGGTCACAGGTATGTGCCACACTGCCTGGCTTGAGGATTCTGCTTTTTAACACTCACCACCACTTCAGTTTCACATACTTTGAGCTCCTGTGGACCACTAAAAAAAACACTGCTCAAAGAGGCAAGCATATATTCTCCACCTACCAAGCTCATTTCTTTGGATTTCAAAGAGGTAGAACTTCCCGAAGAGGCCGTGGACGCTGGGCTGCTGGATGCATCTTTCTTGAGCAAGCGGTTTTTGTCAATTCCATTTTCCCGGGGTGAATGGGCAGGACTTGCACGAGGGGAAGCAGGGTCCTCAACACATAGAATCAAAAGTTTCCATGCTTTAGTTTGTAATGAATAGACCTTTCCACTTTTTTTCAGTACTGGGGACTAAACCCAGAGCCTTATCACTGAGCTCTGTCCCCAGCTATTCTGAGACAGAGTCTTGCTAAGTTGGCCCAATATGGCTTAGCTTTTCATCTTTCTGCCTCCCAGAGTGCTTAGGTTACAGGCATGGGCCATCACACCAGCTAGTTCTTTAACTTATGGAATACTGAGAGTCTTTTAGAGGGGAAGTGTGTGACATTCTCCAGCAATGCTGTTAGAGCGAACAAGACGGTATCTGTAACATATCCATAATCATACCATAAAGACAACAGCCATGCCCAAGTTCTCCGGGGGACAATGGAAAGAAAGGAGAACCAGCCATTCAACTTAAAAATCCCAAATGACTAAGGAGTCAGGTGTTTGGGCGAAGAAGGTAGGAAGTGTTGGGATTCAACCCAGGGCCTTACAAATGCTGAGCAAGCCCTCTCTCACCCAATGAAAACCAGCCCAGATTTCTTCTCAAAGGAAAGGACACTTGTGTCGGACTACTATTGCTCAGGAATGACTATTAAATTCTTAATGCATAAAGATTCAAAAGACCAAAACACTGTGGCTCCACTTCATCCATTTACTGTTGGATCTTTCTCAACCAGTCAAGTCATGCTGTGGGAAGAATCATTACCTCATTAGACACATCCACGACTAAGTTGTCATCACTTTTGTCACCGTCACTGTCCTGTAAAAAGAAATTATAATGCTGTTTGGTAAAGGCTAACCCTGGGTTGGGCAGAGTTAAATCCCTTACTGCAGTTCTGGGTGGCAGAGACACTGAGCCACCACTTGGGCCGTCCCTGTGTGCCCTCCCAACTGCCAGCCCTTGCAGTTTACACTGCACGGCCTTTCCCTCTTCCCACCTGACCTGCAGCAAGGCCGAGCACCAGGCAGGATGCTGCTGCAGCCGCAAAGCAGCTGTCCAATCCGAATCTGCTCACAGGAAAGGGAAACTGCAAAACTGGTATGCTGTAAGGGCTTGGTAAGTGTTTGCAACGGCTGAATCTTTTTTGCAATCTGAAATTGCCTCTTTTTATCTGAAATCTGCATGCCCATATTTCAGTATTTTTCATTCAATTTCAAAGTAACTACATGATTTCGTATCGTTGGTTTTATGTGCTTCACCCTGAAGGAGAGAGCCAGCCAATCAGGCACTCACAGACAATTCATAATTGTAAAAACAAATTTATTTATTAAACCATTTTCCTTGAGGTTACTTACTGATTTCAGCAAAAAAAGAGACAGCTGTAGCCTACCATGATAAATAGCAATCAGTGTGGAATGCTTTGCAGAGAGGAAAACAAGACGGTGGCAATATTCGGGATGGATCCCCGTTTTGCAATACTGTCTCCTCACAGCGCCATACCACTTGCTACCCAGAGTAAACCCCAAGCCTACACCACTTTCGGAAAAGATACAGAAAATCTCTTCAATGTAATAATGTGATCACTCCCATTTCCAAAGATCGGGGTAGGCTGAAAAATCCATGTTCCTAAGCCAAAAGGCCTTATGTATCTTTTAGTGATAAGAAACACAACATGCCTATTAAAAAAGGAGAATATTTCAATGGAGTTCTTACAAAACAGAGGAACCCTAGCTTATGAGGCAAAAACAAAGACCCTTTTACTGCTGTCACTGTCACTTAGGTGATAAAGACAATGACTGAGAAATGTCACCTAGTATCTACATGAATTTTTGTGGGTCCACCAGTCAGTATTTACCCTCAATGCTGAATTCACATCTTAAAAATTCTTTTACAACCATCCTCTAAGTACCACATGATGACGATCCAATTTATTTTCTTCAGCTGAATGTAACAAAATACACTTCAGTCACAGTTGAAAAGCTACCACACAGTTCATTAGTAGCAACAGAAAACTTTACAGGGTAATCCAAAGTAAGTATACTGAAAAAAAATTTTCACAAAAAGAAAAAAAACAATACAATTTGTTTTCTCTTAGTAAAGCCCACAGAAAAGCACAAGTGTTCTCAGGTATTATGGAACATAAACCAAAAGGCTTTCCCTTCCAGGAAAAACAATTCCGACAATGTCTCGATCATCTATAGGCTGAAGCAGCACCAAAACAAAACAAAACAAACCTTTACATTAATGGTACTTTTAAGTGTTAAAACAAAATTTCTTTTTAATTCACTGAAATTTTACACCGTATGGGGTAGATGTATAATTCATATATGAACACAGTATGTAATAAAGTTAGGATAATTGGCCTTTCCATCTCCTATCACATCTTTGTGCTTGTAATCTTTGGACTGCTCTAATTTCTCATAAGATACCCAGAGATTTATTGCAGAAGTGTAAGTGCCTGCGTGGCAAGCACAAGGTCATGACTTTGATCCCCGGTGCCAAAAGGATACAGAACAGGCAATCAAAAGCTGTAGTCCCCCCACTATGTTACTGCTTAACCGTACCTTGGTACCTGTTATCCCACCCTTCCATTTTAGCACCAGACAGCATTTCTAATAGACTGTGAGGCGAGTTTTTCTGTCTTCTCTAATGTCAGTCTTAGCTCTGTATTGGGCCCTTCTGAAAATCTGAATGATCTCAGCATACTACATTTCTGGCACTGAACATCTATAATCTGAGATCTTTGCCACCAGATTCTCCAGCATAATCTGCTTATCATCACTGAGCACCTATTCAACCAGAAATTTTGCACCTACACAAGCAGGTAAAAAAGCCATAATGTGACCTAGGGATCCTTGGTCACTCATTGTTAAATAAATTATATAGTCCAGGCTTGCAACTCAGAACTGAACATCAGCAAGTTTCCCAGTGTCTGCAGACCAAGCTGATACTGATTTAATGGCTTCCAGCAAAGCATCACTCTCAGGTTTGTTTTTGAGAATCTTAAAGTAGTGAGCAGAGGAGTACAAATCTTGGAGTAGGAGCACCTCCAAGGTATGCCTTTAACCAGGACCTTTGACAACCACCAAAAAGCGACAGCCTGAGTTTCTGTCGGCATACAATGGACACGACACAACCAGCTCTTCGGCTGCAGTGCGAATGGAATGAAACGGTCCACATAAAGCACAGGGCTCCTATTCCTTGGCACAGACAAGCTGGCATCCACCCCGCATCAGCTTGAGAAGGCCCTCAGGAAACAAAGGCCCAGTGTCTGTGGCCACATATCCGCAGGTGGACACTCTCCCTCCAGGGCAACAGTGTGGGCTCTCGCTGACCCTGAGAACCCACTTACCCGGAACAGACCCTCAAGACACCTAAGCGACTCTAAGTTACGGCCTGTCTCTGGTGCTTACCACACCGAGACTGGGGCCAGGGGCGAGCCTGCCTGGGTCTCTGAGTGCAGTGACAGCTGGCCCTGAGCCCTCCCTCCACCAACCATAATGTGAGCTCATCTGTGGGGGCACCTCTCTCTTAAAGACTCCCAGGAACCTGGGTACCATACCATAACAGCAGAACAGCATCCCAGTGTGTTCTGTAACTTTACTACTCTGATTTGACATGAGAGGCCACCAGCTTTGCAGGCCCCAGGACAAAATGAAAACGCAGTCTTCATTCAAAGACTGAGATTCCCAGGTGTTGGGGTTGGGCCTTTCTGCAAGAGGAGCTGGAGCCACTGGGCCTGAGGGGCAGCACCTCACATGACCACGGCACAAAGTCTAAAACCTTTATGCTCATCAGAAGCATAATTTACAGCCTTAAAGGGAAAGGATAATCTGCATCTTCTGTGAACCCACCCCCTCCCTCTATTATATCATAAAAGGGTATGGAATTATGGAGATATTAGATGGTGAGCAGTAAGCAAAGAAAACCATCCGAAATCTCAGATTTACTCACATAGTGGCTGGAATCTTTATCATCCACCTTCCTTTTCTTGATGTCATTGGAAAATTCAGGTCCATTTCTGCGTTTATCTGTACTTCTTAGACTGTCTGGAACCAAGAGAGAATTACTCTGCAAGGTAAAGAAAAATAACAATATTAGTAATCAACGACTGCTTGCAAAGCCCCTCTGTACCCAGGCAAACCCAAACTGGACGCAAGAACTGTTCCAGACAAGCAGTGCCCACACAGCCTCTCACCTGCAAAGACGTTCCCAGGGCTCAGGACTTGCCGGGATCTGACTCACCAGGGTACCACCCATACCTCAGATCCTGGCCCTACACTCACACTGTTCTACTCAGCACTGGGGAACAGGAGCTGGCTATTTGATGTAGATGTGTTTTTATTCTCTCTCACTTCGACTTCCTAGTCAGAAAATGGACAAGCTCTATCAGGCATATTGAGCCTTGAAACTGCTCTCTTAGGCATATTTTCTAACCCTAAGAGTCACTTATGTACCATTCTAAAAGGACATTAAGGAAGCAGGTGGGATTAACAGCATGGTTTCCTAAAAGGCAAATCACATTTTCTGCAGTGACAGTGGAGAAACTTTTGAATTCTTCTTATTTATTGTTGAAAATAAGATCTGGTGTTGCTTGCCAATAGCATCAAAACTTAAGACCCAAAGGGGAAATCCCAGCCAGTGAATCTTCAATAGCAAGACCAGCTCCTCCACACAACAGCAGGAACAAGGACTAATCTTTTTCCACAACCACACAAGACACTCTCATTGGCATACACTGAGTGTGAACTGTTGACCCAAAGAAAACAGGCACTTTAGAAATTCTGGGGTCACATGACACCATCTGACATCCCTTCAGTTCCCATCTCCCCTCAGGCTACAGCATGAGAACATGTTACAATGAGTTCTTTTAAGTGCAGGATTAGCATATGCAAGAGGCAATTTGTTCAGTGATGTGTTACTGCTTTGAACAATACTGAATGAGCTGCGCAAAACCTCCTTTCACAAAGCCCAGATAACCTCAATTTTGGGAAAGATGTTAGAGAACTAAAGGTGGGGGGTGGGGTATCTAGGACCAACAAACACTTGGCTACCTTTCTCTGTCATAATTTAAGAAAGGAAACCTTCAAGTTAGATCAAGCCTAATGCAGTGTGTACTCAGACCAAACACTTCATGCCACATTTTAGGGCCAGCTAGTGACCTGCCAGGCGCTGGCTCTCAATGCTCCCCTGGAAAAAGATGGACCCCACCCCCCCACCCCCACCATTGGAGCGCATTCCTGATTCAACCAAGGGCAGGAGGGAATCAAAACTGCAGCCCGGAAGGCAATCTGAAGCTTCTTGGCCCACTTTAGGGGCTGACCTAAGACCAGCTGAGAGCTTTATTCCTGACTATTCAAGCTACACAAATGCCAGGAGGCCTAGATAAAAAGGGGGAGGGACCCAAGCAGCTCCATATGGAGAAGCTCAAAGTCACATCTTTGCCTCAGTGGCTGGGTCTCTAAATTAATTACCTCTATGAAGGTCTGCCAACAGCTCACCCGCCAACCCAGCCTCACAGCCTAAGGATGGAAGAGATTTAGCACAACTTCGGCAAAGGGCTAACCAGCATCAGGAAAAGTCCTAGCCCATTCAGCCCTGCGACCTCCTCTAGATGGAGCAGGGGCAGGGCTGCCTCTTGCTAGGTTCTGTATCTACACAAGTGCCTAAAATCCCCCTTGTGCTCTGGACTGGCTGGCTGTTTCTCCCCCAGCACTGAGGACTGACCCGAGGGCCTTCACACTGCAAGATGCCCCCAGTCCTCTTCATTAGAGACAGGGTCTCACTAAGTTGCTAAATTACCCAGGCTGGGTTCTGATTTGTGATAGTCCTGCCTCAGCCTCCTGGAGTGCACCAACTTATGCCTGGTTTCTGCTGGTAATTTTTAGCTCTCCACAAGGCTGTTTTCAAAGCCCTCCTGTGTAATTAGCTTCCAAACCACTCAGCCATTCTCACACCACTTTTTATTGTCTTATTTTCAAAATGATATCCAATGGAATTGTGAATGTAGAATTCTGCTTCTGTTAGGAACAGTGTAATTTCTGTTAGGAACAATAGCCTTTCTGAGGCTGAGCCTTAGACACCACTGTGCTTTGACACCACTCTGTCTCCACGATGTAAGTGACAACAGTGATTGTCATGCAGGCGGCCTGAATGAGGCCTGCACTGAATGGGTTTTGAAAGGTTCTCAAAGTTCCTCTAAACTTGGGTGAGGCCACTCCTTAGCACCCCTCCTCATCTGAACATTGGCCTCCTTCCACAAGTTACAGAACAAGCCAGGGCTTCGCACCTCTGCTGCTGGACACAGACTGGAAGGCAGGGGCTGAGCAGGAGGCTGAAGGCTGAGGGGAAGGCTGGTCTGCATGCCTTGACACCGCACCTGGAGGCTGCCCACCTACATGCTGCTTGCCAGGGGCAGCCCCGCCCTTGCGCCCTGCCCAGGGAACCAGGTTCCACATGTGCAGCTGCATGGCTGTCTTGTCCTGACACCAGTTTGGCCGTTGTCAACATGAGCAGGGATCTGCAAGCCCAGGCGTGGCACGTGCAGCAACAGCGCTGCCAGTGTTTCAGCCATGGCTTTGAGGGGTCTTTGTGCTTCCCCCATTTGCTCCCTCTCCAGGAATCTGAAGTGACATTTCAGGGATCACTGCATGTCTTCAGGTATCAAAGCACTCTGCCCTCTGTACCACACGGCCGAAGGGTGGAAGTTAGCCATCCTGGGGGTCACTATGAGCCACTTCCACATTTCTCAAAAAGTAAGAGAAGTCTGAGCACTGAGTGAATATCCTTGGCTCCTTCAAAATTTGGGCTCCAATGTTGCAGAATATCATAGTTTACGCTATACAACAAATATTTAAAGAGACCATTTGCAAAAGAATGACATTGAGATTGTTTCTCTTTAAATTATTGAAAAGTCATTCCAATCGCAAAGTTGAAGCAACCTTGAAGACGTATCTTTCAGGCCCTGGATTTACTGGAAACACTCTGATGTCCAGGGTGCAGGGTGGCAGCCTAGGCCAGCAAGCTCTTCCTATGCCTGGGATATGACTCAGCCGTAGACCGCCTGCCAGCACAGACAAGGCCTTGTCCACCCCAGCACATACACATATGGAACACCCTGCCAATTCCCATTATGTCTAATTCCCTTTCAGAGGGGTGCTTTCTCAGCAGTTTCTGCACACAGAATACCTGTATTGACACACAAATCACCAACCTACATGGGCCTAAACTATCAAGCTTAACGTTCTACAGGACCTAACCACATTTAAGGCACGTTCTCCTTGATCCTCCCTCCAAGGCACTCAGAGTCCTTGGACACACAGCCTCGCACACCAAAGGTGAACATAGAATTAGGGAGGAAGTGAGTATTTTCCAGCCTACTTCAAAATGAACTGCTGGGGGATGGAGCAAAGATGAGGGATAGATAACAGCAGGCTACAGAGACTTCCTGAGATAGTCAACTTAGATTTCCAAAAATAATGCAGTGTGGGGAGTCCCAAACAAAGGGAGATAGATCCTCCCGACCCAGGAACAAACTAAGGCGAGATAAACCAATTAAATATACAGTCCCGGAGCTACTATTGGAACAGCTAAAATCTCAGTGCTTCCGCTACAGTGCTTGAACTTGAACTCCTGCAGCTGAGACTTACCCAGCTATCTGAAAGCCCACTGCTTCAACTTATGGGAGACGCACTCTCACTGAGAATGAGAGTCGGTGAACTGAACAGAGAGCTAAGCTGGTGAGGAACCTGCATTGACCTGCAGTGAGGGACGGGAATAAAACCCTTCCATAGAAGAAAGGGCTCCAATAGACAACATTCTGGGGCCGGGCAGACTGGCCAGAACAAGGAACAGCAGTGACTTCAGTCAGCTGTTCCCTTCTCAAATGGGATTGGTGGGGAGCGCTGGACCTGGGTCATGCCCCAGACTCAGCTCCAATAGGCTAGCCCTAACCAAGTCCATACGCCTGGCAGTGCACCCTAATGCAGTGAAGCCTTCAGCAGGTTGACTGACCCAGAAGGGAGGGCCCAGCACAGGCTGCCCTGGTCTGTACCTCCATAGTACACTGCAGTGGGCGGGAGCACCTAGTCAGCGGCACTTTAGACAAACTGTAACCAACAAACAAAGAAACCCTTATATACACTTGTACAGAAGGCACAAAAAATATGAAAAGAGGAAGCAACAAGAAAGGGTCTCCAGCCCCCAACCCTGAGAACACTGATCCAGGAAAGGTAAATGCAAAGGAGAATGAGGACAGCAAACATGCAATCAGACATGGCACCAGTGGACATAAAGCGCTATCTTTGGGACCTCACAGATGGGTTCAAAAATGAAGTATTTAACCAAGTAAAGCAAGATATAAATAGAATAATAAAAGAAATGCTAACCACCTCTCAAAAAAACAGATGGAAGAATTGAGAAACTTAAAAAAAGGGGAGAATTGTTTGATGAAGAAAATAGAGAAAACATAGAATACATGAAGCAGGTTCAAAGAGGTTACTAGGAAATTAAAAACTCCATTGAAAGCTGGCAAAACTGCTTGAAAGAAACTAAGGATAGATTATACGAACCGGAGGACAGGTTTGCAATGTGGGATCATGAAAGGAAAAATTTCTTAAAAATAACAAGGAAACAATACAAAGGCTAGAAGAGGATCTATAACTCAAGAATAATGAATGTGAACGAAGAAGCAGGGGTACAAACAAAGGAATTACAAAGGCTATTCACAGAAATAATTAAGGAAAATTTCCCAAACATAGGAAAAGGAAAAGATATTCAGCTGTATGAGGCATACAGAACTCCAGCCACCTACAGCCAAAACAGAACTACACCCAGGCATATAATAATCAAGACCCCAGAAATCCAATACAACAGAATATTAAAAGCTGTCAGAGACAAGAAACAGATTACTTACAAAGGAAAGCCCATCAGAATTCCAGCAGACTTCTCTGAACAACCCATCAAATCCAGAAGAGCCTGGAGTGAAATATTCCAAGCCCTGAAAGAAAATAACCTCCAGCCCAGATTGATGTACCCTGCACAACTGTCCCTAGAAATTAATGAAGAAACAA